TGCTGTGTTTTAACCCGCTGTGCCACCAGGGAGGGTCCAGACTTAGCACTTTTTAAAATTATTTTTATTCTGTCTCCTCCACATGATAAAGTCCACAAGGACAAGGGTGTCTCTTATATATCATTACATGTCCTCAGTATCTAGTACAATACTTTCCACTCAGTAAAACTCAATAAACCATCAGCCCAAAGAGTAAAGGAGTGAAGAACATATCCCATTTAGGCATAAGAGTTGGATTATTTCAGTAAGCATTTTCCTAAAGTGAATAGGGGCTTTTTTTTTTTTTTTTTGAGTTTAGACTAAAGAAGAAATGATACATAGTTCTACAGTGATAAAAAGAAAGGACAAATATCAGCCCAGCAAATCTGAATAAGAAAATAAGAGTGAATAAAAATTTTGACATTTTAAAAAGAAATCAAATATAAATTGCCAAGTCAAAAAAAAAAGCACAATTGCCTACCCTTTAATTAAAAAAAAAAGCCTAATGAAATGGCAAATATTAGATTAATATGTATGAAATCTTAAGATATACAAAAGGTCAAGTTGAATTAACTTTATAGGTTTCCTGGTGGTGTCCTTTTAATTAGTCTTTATTCTTTAGAGTTGCTTTCCTGCTCTTAAGAAGCGTAACTTTAATGTGAATTTTACTTAACATTTTCACATGGGTTAAATGATCATTTCAGTCTCCCATCAAAAGCCCTGGGTAAAATCAGCTGATTAAGACATTGCTACCTGTCAAGGAGAGGTAAGGGGGGGGGGGGGGGGCTCCCGGCGGATTTTTCTCGAATCTAGAGCAGGACTAACAGCTTCTCCAGCTAAAGAAAACCTTCCAGAGGGGAAAGTTTTGATCTGATCCAATTTTAAAACTTCAACATCAGGGCCACTGTGACTTTGCCCTTCAAAGTGCTTCAATAAAGCGAGCTGCTACAACAACTGTGGGAAGGAAGCCTGGGCTACATCTAGGAGACAGCAACCGAAATGTCAACTGCTAGTGGGCGGAGGTAGCCGGGAGGCGAGGAGCAGTTTGATTTCACAGTACCAACATCACATCAGGGTTTTTTTTTTTTTTCCCCCACAAGTCCTGAAAGACAGCTTTCCAATTCCTTCAAATGTGTGAAATCCAACCTTTACTTTCTTGCTGGCTGCAACATTTGGGTTCTAAATAAAGAGGAACAAAGCAAGGCTGGGCCATCACTGAGTCGCAGGTATTACTAAGAAAGTCATGGGGATAAAGCACCCACAGCAGGACCAGTGCCAACACTATTTGGGTGTGGGCGTGCTCAGGAATTGTGGATTCTGAGGATCTCCACCACACAATCTGGTTTACATGATGGTGGCTGAAAATATGGAGATCTGCTATGTACCTAGGAAGAAAGTGGCAGAAAGAACTTCATAGTATCCAAGTTAAGTTAGAAGAGAAAGACAAATGCCAGGTAATTTCATTCATATGTAGACTACAAAGGAATGAAGCAAAGGCACAGCCTGCATCTAACTGCAGGGCTTTGGGGAGCAGAGGAGGTGAAGATAAGGGGGCTTGATGGGTTGCTGAGAAGGTGACTGGGGGGGGTGGGGTGGTAGCACACATCTGAAGACCTGTACCCCTAAGTCATGTACAGTGTTGGAAACCAACATTAGCTCAACCAAAGTAAATATAAATAACTTTCAAAGAAGTTACTGAAGTTGCAAAGTTAAGATACATGACAACTTTCTCCAGGGAACTCCAAAGAGGATGGTACATTTGGAAGTGGGAGAACCTTTATATTGCTATAAACTTACTGCTATGCAATTCTCTTTTCCCTAGTACTATTTACTAATTTTTAACTGTGCTTAAGCATAGATAACACAAAATCTCTCTTCTTAACCATTTGGAAGCATACAGTTCATAAATAAAGTAGATTCATACTGCTAGAAAACCCATCTCTAGAATTCTTCTCATCTTGCAAAATTGAAACTCCACACCTGTTCAAAAGCTCTCTTCTCCTGTCAACCACGCTCCAGACTCTCCCGCTGTTGGTCCCTTTGAATTTGACTTCCCTAAGGTGCTCATGTAAGTGGAATCATACAGCATGTTTTCTGTGACTAGCCTATTTTGCTGACCATGATGTCATTATGGTCATCTGTATTGCAACATGTGTTAGGATTCCCTTCTTTCTTAAGACTGAATAATACTTCATTTTGTGTGTGTGTGCACGTACATGTGTGTTTCTGTTAATGCATCCTCTGTAGGTCAGCACTTGAGTTGAGGCTACCTTTTCACTATGTGGATAATGCTATGAACATAGATTCCAAATAGCAACACAAGACCCTACTTTCAACTCTTTTCAGGCACCACCCAGAAATGGGATTGCTACATCAGAAGGTAATTCTATTTTTCACAGGTTGAGGAACTGGCATACTGTTTTCAGAGTAGCTGCACTACTTCACATTTCTGTAACATCATGACCAATAAATTTATTGTCTACTTTTCTCATAATAGCCATCCTAATGAGTGGTGTCTTAGCAATTTTTATTATTTTCCAAGTGCTTTATAATATCCTTATAATATTTTAATGAGGAAAACTCAGTGAAATACAATCAACCATTTTAAATGATTACACAAATACATATTTGTTGGTGCGGAAAGACCTCTCTCATATATAGTTCAAAACTTTTTAAATGTGGTTAGTGTAAGAGCTTGGAAAAATGCATACACACACTAGGACATAAATGTCTTATACAGACTTAGTGGACTGTGACAAGGAATATAAAAAAACAATACACCGGAATGTTAATTCATCTCTGGACAGTGGTAATTTAAGTGTTGGTAACATCTCCTGTATTTACTTTCTCGTCTTAACCTGGTGAATATACCTGTCTTCTATAATAACAAATAACAAAGGGGGTGATTTAGCAAATAAAGTGGGGATCCTCAGGTACCTGGACAGTCATGTTGCTGAGTCCATGTCTGACAACACACAAGCCAGGACAGAACTCTGGTCAGCAGTCAGCCTACCTGTCAATCCTACTTCTACCCATACATGCTTCAAGGGTGCTAGTGGGTAACAGTATGATCACAGCTGGAATTTAGAGGTGTGAGTTGGGTAATCTGCCATCTGTAATTTGCCCCCGAGTCAGGACATAAGACACCTACAGGACAGAATGTACAGTGCCAGCTCCTTACGCTCAACCCGCTAAGCAAAAACACATAGACGGGCAACAGACAAGATGTAGGAAGTACAAAGAGAAATCCCAGCAACAATGTCACATACTAGTCACATACTATTTTACTTGCTGTTGGGTAAGAAATTGTTTATACTTTCCCATTTTTTGGGTGAAGACTCTTTCATGCCTTGTCGTGTGCATGTGTGGGTTTAATGAGTTTTTTGAAAACATCCCAATCTTTTTTGTCTTCCTGAACTGATAAAATAGGGACAATGTGCCCAAATTTAGGCTCTTTGTACCCAAATTTAGACACAAGTTGCTGAGAAGGGAGATCCTCAAGGGTCAATGGGAAAAGCTTGGGCATGAAGAAAAATGCCAGCTGAGGTCGTCTGTGCCTACTGGGATCTAAAAGCTTGCTCCCCACCTTCCTCAAACAGAAGCACCATTAACCCTCTCCTCCCCACCCCTGACCCACAGCCAGAATATACATGGAAATGACTGTTCAACACACTGGTCTGATGTGTTTTCAACTGCCCCCCACCACCACCCGCCCCAAACTCTGAAGCTCCGGAGTGCAGCAGCTGTCACCCAGGGCTGAATTACTCACCACTGAACATCTTTAATTCTGAAGTTGCCCCTCTTCCCTAACAAATGATTTTCCTTCCCCATCTCCTGGCTTCAGTTCCATTCAGTGGGTGCATCTCCTAAGGGCTGCCCACCAAACTGTTGGCATTTCTTTCTTGGTTCACCACCCATTTAACCTGGATTTTGGATTAGTCACTAAAGAAACAGATTATTTCATTCATCTCACATGGACTTCCTTCCATTTTTGTTTTTGGTATCTTGCCCTAAGCATGTAGCCTCTCGAAGAAAGGAATAAGGGAAAGACAGGAAAGAGCAGAAGTTGACCCTTCTCTTGGCACCCAGTGCCCACTGAACTGTGCACAGCCCTTTCAGTCTGCATACTTAGTTCTCCCCACCCTAGCCCCATCCTACCTGCCTCCTGCATTCTTAACTCTGCCCCATGCCAGCAAGCATTCTGAGTGGTCAACACGTGGGTTTGATGGCTAGAAGGCTAGATGGGAGTTGAATAGGCAGTTCCCTGGGCTTCAACCAGAGCAGTTCACTTCCACCCAGAATAGAAACTGCTTAATAAATTACATTGCACACAGAAAATAGTATATTATTCAACTAAGAAAGACTATTTCAGAAGACTCACACAGTGCTGCAAGAAAATATTCACGAGGCAACACACTATATACAGCACTAGCCCAATTCTGAAACATGTCACAGATCTAAGAAAAACTATCTAGAGGGAGACACCCCCAGTGTAAACTGTGGTTAAGTGAGAATGACAGATTTACGGGTGCTTTTTAAATTTTCTTCTATCAATATTCATTTTTTGAGATGTTTATGTAATCTTCTCTTTAAAACAATTTTTGTCTTAAAATAGATGATTCCCCTCAAACCCCTTGTTCTACATTTTTCCTCTTTCTAAAGCCCAGAAAGAAATTCATCAGCTGCTTACTCTCCTTTGCTGAAGATGACCCAGACTAATCAATCCCTGGAGGTTGCCAGCAGGGGCTTGTCCCAAAGGATTCAAATACAAGGAGATCAAAGGGCAAACAAACCTTTGCCAGGGTGCCTGTGCTGATCTTCAATAATGCACTTACCTACCTTCAATCCTTGATGATTAATCTCAACCAACTGCAGGCTAATAGAAAGGCAAAAATCAAGAACATCTAAGCAAAGAAAACATGATTATCAACACCAAAAGTAGGCAAGGATACCCAGCTTCCCCAAACACTGCAGATTTCCTGGTATAGTCACGCTCTGTCTACTGAAGCCTTGCAACTCACCAGGTGTTTGGCCTTGGAGCGTTCCTCCTCACTTGATATCCTCTCTCGAAGAATAGCTCTGGTCAACTGATCCAGTTCTTTGCTTTGTTTAAGCCTGAAAAGACAAGAGGAGTGTGCCTTAGAAAGGGGGAGGGGGGGAGAAACAAAAAAGCATCCTGTGAGTTGACTTTTTTCATGAATCACTTAAGTAAAAAGGTAGAAAGAGCCATTGTGCTGATAGCTAAAATCATCTTGGCTTATAATTTATCAGAAGCAGGTATGTTTGTCACTAAATCTCCTCCCGAAACACTGAAAATAACAAAAGTCAACTTACATGAAGAGGCTTCTTGGTTGACCTCTAAGGTTTTACAAAAGGCTTCTGTAAAATTGAAATCTCTCCACCTAAAACCTTTCATCCCTGGCAATTCCACTTCCTCTTTCAAGATTTAAATACTAAATCTAACAAGTCATATATGACACTTGTATATAAATACTAAGTCTAACAAGTCATATATAAGACCACCACTTCTCCTCAAAATTGACTCTACTCAACCGTTAACTGAACGCACACCAGCTACTGTTTGTGCTCTGGTGACACGGTGCTGAACAAGGATGGACCCCCTGTCCTCACAAGCCCTACATTACAGCTGGGGACTAAACACAAAATTAAGATGTATTTCCTCCCAATGAATTACTCCTACTTTCCAACAATGCCCACAGGCAATAATGGCCAGACCTTTCAACAGCAGGTTTCCTCACTTCTGGAACTGCTTTGACTTGTCCCTTAGCTCCAAACTAATACAACATTGCAGACATGGCCTAGTAAAGTAAGACAGCAGGCCACATGTCCCAGGACCTGCACATAAGACTATTAACGAAGCATCCGATTGCATTCAACTTATCGGTAACCTCATCACACAATTAGATCCACATTAAGTTACAATCCACTAAAACCCCTCATTGTGCATGGAAAAGATAAATTACTTTGGCACCAATTTTCACCACAGTGCATGGTCCATAAAGGCCTTCAGTAATCAGTGAATGAGAGTATATTTCAGTCTAATCTCTCGGACAAAGATTTTCTGATTGCCTTTTCTTCTCAGAAGAATAACCCCTATATTATACCACCATAACCCCAAAGGTAAAGTAATGCTTAAAAAAAAAAAAAAAAGTAAAATTGTTACATTGGTATCAGTGAAATTTGAGGTAAATCTACTTCACAAGTAGGACTGATGAGCACCAAGAGATGAAATGAACACTAGTCTATCCAATTTTAGCATTAAAAGGACTTGTAAAAATAAATAAAATTTTTTGCTATTTTAAGTGGCTACTAAGTTTAAATTGAACTTCTCAGAAACTAATTATAACTGGTAAAATCCCCCTGAAAAATTTATTCCAGTAATGCTTCCTTCCCTGGAAATTAAACCCGTGTTTCTGTATCTTGAATAAATGTGTATTAGAAGGAATTAAAACCTACACCTTGAAATTTTTTATGGAGCCTCTAGGCAACCTTTCCTTTGGCATTAAGCACAAGTACATGGATGCAAACAAAATTTCCTATACTTCAAAATAAATTGGGCAGCATTAATGCTGCTACTACTAAGTTAACTCAGCACACAGGGGTAGTGAATGGTCAAAGGACGCAGTAATTAGTGGTCCTGTCACTGCCAGGAGCAAAAGTTCCAAACTCATGACCCACAGACCAGAGGCAGCAGCCTCACCTGCTGGCTGCATAGTTGAATCTGAGGTCGATCACCATCAACTAGTAAAGTACACATTATTCATCTAAATAAACCTTGCTGATACATAAAAAGCAAATGAAATGCACCCACAGAAGGATACTGCGCTGGCCACTGCTGAGGGTTTTGTGAAAGTGAGTTTACCAGAATATCACTTGCACAGAAAGGGTACTACTGAGTAACAAATGAGGGTGGAACTAAAGAATAAAAATTGTTTTTTGTGCATCATCACTGTGCTAGGCACTTCATATAGGTACATAAAAATAAACTTATTAAAAGTACATCATTCGGGCCCTCCCTGGTGGCACAGTGGGTTAAAGCACAGCACTAAGAAGCCAAAGCCGTTTCTGCATGAGTTCGGTCCCCACCCGCCCCGCAGGTGACCCACATGGTGCAGCAGACCCCTCCTGACCCGCCCGCTGCTCCCACAGCAATGTACTTCCTTGATCTGTCTGTTCTACTCCCCACTCTGTCTCTGGTGAAGCCTCTCACCACCCCTGCACCTCTGACCTGTACCCCAGTTCTGTATGCATAAATAAATAAATCTTGAGAGAAAAAAAAGCACATCATTCACTCATGAAGGTGAAATGAATTCTATGTTGGATTTCCTCCTATGTACCACTTTTAGTGTATCAGATGTCAAGTAGTGTTTGTTTTAATAATGACTACATTTATTTTTTTAAATTGTGCTTACTTGTATAAAGCATAAATTTTCATTACAAATGGAGCTGTGATTCAACTTTTAAACAACACCAAAAAGCTTTGGCAAGTTGATGCAAAAAGTAAAACAGCAAAAGACATGAGCACAAAGCCGTCAATGTTGTGACAAAAAAGAGAGGTTACTCAGCATCTATTATTTCAGTAGCATAAACTGTGAAGTTGGGACTCCTGAGTTCTAATCAAGGTTGAGCCACTTGCCAGCTGAATTTGTACTTCCCGCCTCCCAGGGTGCTGGTATTCTACATGAAAAAATGGATTCCTGTATGTATACAAAGAGCACTCAGCATCTAGGTAAGTGGCAGTAATAAGAGAACCCATGATGGGATCAGGATTTAAGAGAAAAGCAGTGTTTTGGGTGGGTTTTTTTTTTTTAGCTTTGTTTTCATTTACTTAGCAATGAATTTATTCCCAAGCCCTGCATCCCTCTTTCTGACTTCTTTTTCTGGGCTAGGAACAAATCTCTCTTTCAGTAACGTAGCAGGACGCTCAGGGTGGGCTCCATCTGGCTATGACCCTGTAACTTCCTTAGGAACTTTGTTCAGCTACCTACATGCGTTTAACTGGTGTGTTACTCTGCAATCTTGAACATGTACTGCAAAAATTCAAAGCTCTTCTTGGGCCACAGACCCTGGCCAATTCTAGAGTTTGGGGAACACCTACCAACGGCAATGCAACAATGCCCTTCAACATGGTGATTATCTGAAGAGGAGAAACTCCAAGTTCATCAGCTATGCCACATGGCATGACCACATATTAATGGTCTCTCCCACCTTCTTTTCTCCCCCAATTCTCACTAATGATTTTTTCTGCTTGATTTTTTATTATTCTCAAGAACTTCTAAAACCAAAACTTGATCCTGTCTCTGGCAGCTCTGTCCTTTCACATGCTCCTTGATTTTCTTCCCACTTGTTTAGAAACTCCCCAAGGGCACAGACCCAGTGGAGTTTTGCTCACTGCACATCTCCAAAGCTGTAATAGTCAGTGCTCAACAACCACTCGCTGAAAGTCTGCATACTTGAATGATGGATGGCTTATTTCCAGACATTTCTTTCCAGACCCAAAGAAAGAAAGCCAAGCTGCACAAAGGAGAAGACTAAAGGATTTATAGGAAACTACTAGAAAGATGAGGTAGACCCTGTGTAAGCCAATCCACCATTTTATAAATGTCACAAGTGTGACATCATCTGAGACAATGAATAACCTAAGACAGGGTGTTCCAGCAAAGCTGCTGGGCTCTAGACCACTAACATGATTGACCTTGGCTTCAGGTAGCTGGAGAGAAGCACAATTTGATGAAAAATTATTTTTGTTCTTAATAACTTTCATTACAAATAAACCTGCACAAGGTCTCAAATGGTTTCATCTACAGGAATATTGTGAAATAACATGGAAAAGAGAAAGAAAAAAAAGTCTGTGTTCTGAGTGTTTATGAAACAGAACCTTGTACCCTTAGGAGTTTGGCAATATGACCCAGAAAATTCTCATTACTGATAAGCAATTTAGCTATACAAGCTAATAAAGTTCAGTTTTCTCAACTTTACAACTTGAGGGTTGAACTACATCATCATAAGAGCCTTTGCTTTAGTGTTCTACAAACATCATACATTAAATACCTGACTCCACACTTTAGGAAAGCACTAGAGAAAGACAATGGCAGGTGATAAATGGACCAAAAGAATATTATCTCCAAATTTTATGGCTTTTCACTCAATAAGCACCATGGGCTTATTTCTAGCCTCGTCCCTGGAATTTCCTTTTGCATGATAAAAACTGTATACTTGGCTAAGAGAAATGAGACTCACAAAGTTATTCAATATATAATTATTGGTGCCAGCAGTGCTATGAGAATAAAATTATGAGTGAGAAAGACACAGTCCATGCCCTCACGAAGCTTAAACTCTGATAAATATACCACTTTTAAAAAGTGAGACTGTTATATGGGTGGGAGCTGATACTTGAATTAAAACCTAAAACCATGTTAACTGAGAAAATGGGGAAGTGTCTTAGAGAACAGATTTTCTGTACAGTTCTATAACTGCTGTTTCAGAGACCCAAGCCTGGAAGATGTACAGTCACTGAGGTGGTTATCTTCAAAGATACACACAGTGCTCAATAAAAATGGTTGCAAGGCCAGAGAAGGAGCCTTAAGTTAAAATCACCTGTGTAGTTTGAGGAAAAAAATTTAGAAAATGTGAGAAGAAAGATTTACTTCTTGTCAAAACATCTGGGAGGGTAGCATTTCCAATAGAGTCCAATTAACTGAAGTTTCATCTCACCCAGCATCTTCAAAAGCCAGACAACATGTTAGGAATTGTGAAACTGCACTATTCCTCCTTTCCCCAACTCTCTGCTCCAAAAACTTCATGGGCAGCATTATTTTCTTCTAGTAAGTTCCTTCTATCATTATGTGCTTAAATCATTGAACAAACTCATCTGCTTTGCAAAGAATAACCTCTTATAGCTTCAAATATTTTCCATGATGCTATTTCCTCAACAGCCACGTATAAGAGATAGGTGGTGGTCAACCTGGTCTGTCCTCAGTGGAATGAGATGGCATTGATGTCTGTTCTCTATGATGCTACTGGCCCCAATGCAGACCGACCCATTAAAACCAGGATTTTTTGTAAACACCTCATAATGGAAAAAAGAGGGTGGT